ACGACGTATTAGGATCAACTCCTTACTCAGCAACTCAAAGCACTGCGTCATGGCCATCCAGGCGTAGGAATTCGGGATTTGATATTAGGCAATATCGTTATTTTTACAATGCTCATTGCTCATTGTAATAACTGAATTGTAAAAGCAACTTTCTCTCTCTTTCTATAATGAAAAAATTACACCTTCTGCATTTGTTATTCATCATTTATTGTATTAAATAACAGAATGTGTAAAACAAAAATAAAGAATTATAAAAAAATATATATTTACATTATACATATGTTTTTGCATATAAAGTGAATGGAAATCTATTTCATTCAAAACACCATAACACAGACAGGGTACCAAGACCTTAAAGCATGCGTTTTAGTTTGACGACATAATCGTTGAACGCAGAGGAAGTGCGACGTCACGCCACAAGCGAAAATAAAAAAAAATCACGCTCAAATTGACCAGAAGCTTTTACGTTGCATGGCTGATCCATTATAAAAGTAGCTTACACGAAGGAAAATACATACGTTTTTAATTAGAAATCACATTTGCAGTTAAGGTAGACAGTTAAAAATGTAAATATAAGCAATGAGTCAGTCTTTTTTGAAAGATATATAGTCTCATAACTGCAACGGTGTGTGCAAATAAATTGAGTAACGCGCGTTACTCAGTTTGTTTGCACACACCGTAGCAGTTATGAGACTATCTTTCAAAAAAGAATGATTCATTGTTTAATAATAATTAAATCCCTAAAATATCGTTTAATTTAGACTTTAAACATATCAGATATGATAAAAAGAAGATACCCATACTTTATCCACATTGAATAAACGACGAATAAAAGACAGAGGACTTGGGTTTTATGGTCACCATGCTCAATCTGGAAAAGGATATCATTATCCATCCAAACTATTGCCGAGATTTGGCCATTTCTGTCAAATGGACTGATTTTATGTTGTTAAAATAACGTGCATGGTAAGAAATATAAGAGTCGGAAAAATCTTTAAACTTCTATGACAGAAGTGACAAAACTCTATAAGGAGCTTGACACGTGACTGCCTATATCACGTGATCCGCGCATGGACAGAACGGTTGCAGATGCGCATTAGAATTGGAGTGGACTACTTTGAAAACTTTTCAAAACTGAAACCCTATATCATTTCTTTTTTTTTCCATAAAATTATCACGCATGCCAATCAATTGATCACCTTCATGAAATCGAAAAACAAGACAGTGGAAAGTACATCGTCGTATTCCTTATATTTACATGCTTTTGATTCCGCCAATGCACGTGCTACAAGCCCTGCTTCTGTCTAGCTATTCGTCCGTGCCTATTGATGAACCAGTACATTCATATACAAATAAAGTACATTAACTATATATTTGTAATTCTATCTCGGACAAAGACACTGGAAGTGTAAATATTGTAACACAAACAGATTTCAACAGCCAAATGCGGTTTCAAAAGGAGATAGTAGTATCTATCAATCAGAGACCAGATTTTGTTATTTGGTCTCCCACATCCCAGCTTGTTATTATGCTGGAACTTACAGTACCGTGGTAGTGCAAAATCGAAGAAGCCCATGAGCGGAAAATGAATAAGTACCAGGATCTAGTTGCAGATTGACAACAACGGGCCGGAGGGTGTGGTGTCTCCTGGTGGAGTTGGATGCCGTGTATTTGTAGGGCAATCTATATGTGGAGGGCCTTGCGGATTGTCGGTGTAATAGGCACCGAGAGACGATTAACCACTGGACGCCTGGACAGAGAGGCAGAAATGGCATCCATGTGGATATGGAAGAAGAGAGAGGAGCAGTGGAAAGTGCAACACTAAGACTCAGTGTGTTTGCTTGTGAATGAACATTTATTAAGTAAATGTGTTGCGCTGTAGGCGGAGAGATGAGTGGTTCCGGGCTTGGACTTGATCACTCCAGTCAGCATACCTCTGGAGATTGTAGAGGACAACGCCGAAACAACCAATGAAGGAGGATCCACCTGAGGACGGGACCATATGACGCATCATACATACACTATGATGGTTCCACGATAGGTTGTTGGAGATGTTGACCCCTAGGTACTTGGCCTTGGTGGTAGTGGCTAGCTCCTTCCCATGGATGTAATATGGGGTTATGCGTTGCTTCCGTTTGGTGGTGATACGGATAACCTCGCACTTGCCTGGGTTGAAATGCATTAGCCAGTCTGTTTCCCAATCTTGGAGGTTGTCAAGGTCCATCTGGAGTTGTCTGGCAAAAGAGAAACTTTAGTATATGTTGCTACAATTAACAAAGTCCACAAGTGATGTTCAAATCCGCTTAAAGTACAACCTTTAAAAATGATCATTCCAATCATTTAGTGAGCTCGGTGCTCACAGTACCTCTTCTTCTTCTTCCGGTAAAGTGAAGGGCCGCTGCTGCGGCATATTCTCACTATGTTTAAAAACGTGTATGTGAGGGGGAGTCCACGCATCTATTTACAATATTAAAAACTGATAAAAACATGTCCTGCATGATTTATGGTGTTTTATATCCCTGAATCCTGGTCTTAAAGGACTCCAGGGACATGGCCGTGATGGTGTTTTCTGGCAGCTGGTTCCATATCCTGATGGTAGTAGGAAAGAACGATTCCTTGTAGACGTTGGTACGGCAGAATGGGATCCTGTACCGGTGTTGGTGTCCCCTGGTGGCTGCTCCTGTTTGGCAGAATTGGGGAGGCAGGTCTATGGCAACAAGGGAATGGACAACACGGTACATCATAATAGCCTTTGCTTTAATTCTGCGTTGTTGTAGACTTTCCCATTCTAGCCTGTCGATCATCGTTGTGACACTACTGGTGGTGTTGTAGTTATTGGTCACGAACCTAGCTGCCCTTCTTTGCACAGCTTCTAGTTTGTCGATGTTTTTCTTTGTGTGAGGGTCCCAGACAGTGGATGCATATTCTACCTGGGGTCTGACCAATGTCTTGTAACACTTGTCCTTGATGTTGCTGGGACAGGACGAAAGGTTCCTCCTTAAAAAGGCAGTGGTGTTGTTTGCCTTCTTACATACACTATCAATATGATGGTTCCACGATAGGTTGTTGGAGATGTTGACCCCTAGGTACTTGGCCTTGGTGGTAGTGGCTAGCTCCTTCCCATGGATGTAATATGGGGTTATGCGTTGCTTCCGTTTGGTGGTGATACGGATAACCTCGCACTTGCCTGGGTTGAAATGCATTAGCCAGTCTGTTTCCCAATCTTGGAGGTTGTCAAGGTCCATCTGGAGTTGTCTGGCATTCGCCTCTGTAGTGACGGTCCTATACAGAAGGCAGTCGTCCGCGAATAACCTGGCCTTGGACCTCACTCTGGAGGGTAAATCATTTATGTATGTCAGGAATAGCAGTGGGCCGAGGACTGTTCCTTGGGGCACTCCAGATGTTACCGGTGCGGTTGGTGAAAAATGGCCCTCGACCAATACCTTTTGTGTTCGTCCGGACAAGAAACTCCTGATCCAATTGAGTACGTTGCCTCGTACCCCGTAGTGGTCTAGTTTGGCTAGCAATCTCTCATGTGGGACCTTGTCAAATGCTTTGGAAAAGTCCAGTAGCACTGCATCGACCTGGGTGTTGTTTTCAATACTCATGGCGAGGTCCTGGATTGTTGTTATTAGTTGGGACTCACAGGATCGCTTCTTCCTGAACCCATGCTGGTAGTCTGTTAGGATACTGTGATGCTCGAAGAAATTCATCAGGTGGCTGTGGATGATGTGCTCTATTACCTTGCAACACACAGAAGTCAGGGACACAGGACGATAGTTTGCAAGCTTGATCTTATCACCCTTCTTGAATATAGGAGAGACATTCGCGGTTTTCCAGTCCTCAGGTGTTTGACCTTGGTCAATGGATGCCTGGAAAATCTTGGTGAGTGCTGGTGTAACAGGGTGAGCCATCTCTTTCAGAAATCTAGTGGAGATCTCATCCGGTCCAGTCGCCTTATTGGGGTTGAGTCCTTGCAGGAGCTTCAATACGCCCTTCTCTGTGACTCTAATGTCAGGTGCCGATGGGGTGGAACTAGTGCCTAGGGATGGAATATCGGATGTATCCTCTGTGGTGAACACTGACGAAAATTGTTGGTTCAGGAGAGAGGCTTTTGTTTGTGGATCTCCATGAAGGTTCCCGTCAGATCGAAGTGGAGCGATCCCATCACTGTCACACTTCTTACCCTTAATGAAGGAGTAGAGTTTCTTACTGTTGGAATCCTCCTGCACCATGTCTGATACGTACGAGTTATAGGCACTTTTGCATTCATGTTGGGTTGATTTCTGCAGGCGCCTGTATCTCTGTCGATCCTTATCCTTGCCTGATCTTTTATATGTGTTGTAAGCTCTTCGTTTTCGTCTTGACAGTTGCTTGATCTTTCTGTTACACCATGGCTGGTTAAATCTACTTGAAGTCCACTTTGTTGGTACGTGCTTCCTGATTGTGTTGAGGCAGACTGTCTTGAAGGTGATCCAAAGGTCATTTATGGGGGTGTCATGTGTAGAGCCATCAAGGAGGTGTGCCAGGTCGCTGTCAAGGTCTTCTGCCATCTTCGCTGTGTTTGCTTTCTTCCATAAGTGGATGAGGCGTCTGACCGGTTTCTGTCTGGAAGGCACTATGTTTGTGTCATGACCATGTCATGGTCACTAAGGCCCGGGCAAGGTATGCACCTGTTTAATAAGGAGGGGCGATTTGTGATGAAGACATCTAAGGTGTTGGTACCTCTGGTAGGAAAGTCTACCATCTGGTTCTGGTATTACTTCCTGAACTGTATCAGGGCGACCAGGATGTAGAGTTTTCAAATTTCCCGCGGAAAAAACTGAAAGGCTAATTTAACATTCCGATGAAACTCTTTTTATTAATAATATTTGTTAAGCACGTTCATAAATTTTTATTTATTTATTTTATTCCCATGCTTTTATTCAAAAGCACACATGATTAATGAATTCAAATTTTTTTGATCAAAAATTTCAATCTTTTGTGCAAAGAAGGTAAAATTGGTCTGTTACTAGTAAAAACAACATGGCGTCCGCATGGATTGAGAAATTGAAGACGGCACAGAAAACGTGCATGATACAAGATGGTGAGAAGTAGAATATTTTTAAATGTCCCATCACTTAGCGAAGGAAGCTTGGTTAAAGCTAAAAATTTTATTACATTATTCATGATATGATGTCTTTTGTTGTGTGTGTGTGTTATTATAGTCAATGTGACATGGAAAAGGAGCTTAGTTTACTTGTAATCATTGTTAAAATGATTTATGTCAATTACTTATTGTATAATTGTTTTGTTGTTCATTGGCTTATCTTTTCCTTATTATTATAACAATCTCATACTTGTCTGTTATGGGCTCTAAATTAGAAATAAAATGTTTTGTTCTGTTCTGTTCTGTAATCATGTCTTGTCGTTCTTATGTATCTCTCACCTGTAAGACAACACCTCAGAGTGGACAGAAGAAGTTCAGCCGCCGGGTTGACAACTTTATATCACGACAAATAAAGTCCAAGACATTATATTTCTCTTCTGATATTTTTAGGAAGAAGAAAAATTCATTTCGTATTTCCAGACGGTACAGAAATGGCAGAAGAATATGACCTGAAAACATCAGAACTTGTTTGTATGTACTATTAAACATGAGTTAATCTTTGGATTCTTTTAAATTTTTTGTTAAATGATTGATTAATGAAAATCTGCAAAATTATTTTTGTTCTAAATTGATATTTATTTTTTTCTTAAAGTGGCTTTCATAAAAAAAAAAAAATGCTTCAAAATGGTAGAAAAAACAAAGAGATTGAATTAACTCTAGTGACATGTATGCAACTATATATAGTGTCATGATATGTTTTTCATTTGAATATTTTAAAGAACTTTTATTTTCAAAACAACACAATAGCAATCTATTAAGCATGTTAAAAGTTATATGTTCCCAATCCACTAAGTACTTCTTATCCTAATTTTAATTTGACTGAACAGGAACAATAATGGCATAATATACAAATCAATGTAACATAATACATGTACAGCTGTAGATCACTAAATTTTCGTGACACCTTATTTTCACGAGATAGCCGTCGACTCTTTATTAGCGAAAACATATTTTTCACGAATTGTTGTTTTCCTCTATATAATCGTAAGGAATACTTTTATACACGAGAATGAAATTTTCGCGAGGTCATTGTCTCGCGTAATTACGCGAAAATAAAGTTCACGCAAATAAAACATGATTTACAGTAATGTTGGAATTTTATTTTATTTTAGCAAGAAAATGGAGAAGAAAAGCAACACTGGGGGTGAAGGAGTCAAAATGGGAGTTTGAAGTTGGAGAGCAGCTAGTGCCAAGGAACTTGGACTCAGAGGGCTTGTTGGAGAGTGCAGCAAATGTTAGTATCTAAGAAAAGGATAAGCAAAGAGTTATAAAGTAGGTTTTCAGCACTGGGCATGTGTGTAGTCCCTGCTCATAAAACTTTTAGGCTATCTGTAAAATAATGTTTGCTTGCCTTCTCCATGTTCTCCCAACACAGGTTAAAAAAAAGTTGGGTTGGTACGTAGGTGGGAAACTCTTTTTTTTTTCCCAGAAAATTTCAACATATATGTTGATGGAATCAAAAATTGAAGAGCAAAAAGGGGGAGAATTATGATATTAATTCCTGGAGGTTGAAAAAAGTTAGAGTCAGGCCATTTTTAGCCAGTCAGTTGGGAGAGGGCAAACAAACCATTTCTTTTTGTGTTACAAACATGTACGGTTGCACCTCTAAATAAAATGATACACTGGCACTGAATTTGACTGAATTTAAAAATGAATACTTGAGAAAAGAAAACTTTTACCTTTGTTTTCAGCCTTTTGATTTGTAAGATATTTAATTTTTTTTTTCTTTTGTAGCCAATTTTTGCCAGAAAAGACACAGCTGTATCATTTCAGTGGAGAATCAGAAACTTACCCTACCCAATAGAAACATACAATGTAACTGTTGACCCTGAGAATAGGACAATTACCATTAGAACCACTAATAAAAAGTAAGTGATTACTTTCTAAACAACGAAAAATGTGAAAAAAGAAACATAAAATAGGGTGACTTTTGGTAATGATTAAGAGTATTTATTAAGACAAATTGTGTGCAAAATAATAATTTTTATAACTTTTATATGATGGATATATTTGAGTACAGTATGCATTGTAATCTCAAATGTTTTCCTGGGAATTTTTTTTAACTTTTTGATGTAAATATATAATTTCACTGCAAATTGTAGTCATGAAATTAAATAAACAGCTGCAGAAGTGGGAAATGAAAGCTTATTTGCATCTGATTAAAGAATTTATTGAAGAGGAGAGAGAATTTCTCACAGTAGAATATACTTGTAGGTATTTTAAGAAGTTCTCTATACCAGACATGGACAGAGCACAGCTACCTCTTGAACAAAAAGCACTGAGTATAGCACATGCCAACAATACCCTCATAATAACAGTAAGTTTCTGTACAGTTATATTTACATACTGAATATAGCACATGCCAACAATACCCTCATAATAACAGTAAGTTTCTGTAGCATTTATATACTGAGTATAGCACATGCCAATAATACTCTCATAATAACAGTAAGTTTCTGTACAGTAGTATTTATATTAATAGGTTAATTTTTCAATTCTGTTCAGTTGATTGGAATAATATGGTAATACCAGAAATACTGTAGATCACTGGGCTGAGAAACAACACATTTTTTGTGCACAATAAATGTACAGTTTTTTCAATGGGTGGCTTGTTACTTAAGCTCTCTGGTCATCCATCCCAATTTTATCAGACCAGCAAACTACTAATTTGCAGCCATGTTTAATATAATGTATTAAAAGTACTCTACATAAACATGATAAACTGAATAGATAAAATGGATAGTGGAGAAGTTTATTTTTGTGTATCAAAATATTCACACATTAAAACTGTAAATGAACTATTTATAGTACAAGAAGCCTAAGGAAATTCTACAGATGGAAAAAGAAATCCAAGAAGAATTCAAGAAGTTAAAGGCAGCAAAAGATGGTGATGTAGACTGCACACCTAGTTGATCAAATTATTCATAGGCCAAAGGTCAACTTCCAAGTCATGTGATCTCAGAAAATCTGTGATGCATAACAACTGCTGATGAAGGAAATAATCTGAAAAAAAACTAAGGACTGTTTCGGATGATTTACTCCAGTAAGAAAAATGACAGCTGACCTGTCAAACTCATTAGAATTGCAGGCCAAGATTAATGCAAAAAAAGGTTGAATATTTATTGATGCATTTTGTTTTTGTTAATGGTCTATTTATTCCATGTCTATATATTTTTATTTTTTTAGAACTGTCAATTCATTAAAATTTTGAACTAATTCATCTTTGCAGAATGCAAGGACATTTGCATGTACTTTGTCTTAAGTGCTTCTGAGAAGAGAAAAAATAAAATGTTAAATCTCCCAACTCCTAAGGAATTGTGTGTTGTATTGGAAAGTAGCATCACCAGCATTGTTTGTGAAATTATAAAAGGTGATGATAATGAAGTACAGTTATCGATCTCAAAAAATATATATAAACAATACTAATATGTAAAGAGCGCACAAAACATAGACCCCTTGAAATTTAATTCCAGAATTGGGATGAAGTGCCTAGCAGGAGAAAGCATCCCCTGTTGACCATTTTGAGCCCTATGTATTGAACAGGTAGACTTACCTTACCCTAGTCAAATTCCACTTTATTTCTGCTCTTCCTTGATGACAAAGGTGTTCCAATGTATGTTCAATCATATGTTGATAGTTCATTAAGAACTAGTACAATATTAAATATACTTAGATTCTTATTGTAGAATATAGTATCCCGCATGGTCCTGATATACAGGCAATGTTTCAGTGTTTGTGAGGCAGTATGATGCAATACTGTGAAATTACCCATTTTTGTAAGAGGGAGGGTTGATTTTAGTTGTTTTCGAGGCATGGAGAGACCGACAAATTTAATACCACCACCAAATTTTAAATTTCATATGCATTACACCGAAACATTCTCTCTCCAACCATAAAATCAAGTCTACAAAATTCAATATATATATTTCCTTAAACCTCCAAACAAAATACAATGACCTTTTCAGCAAATACAATTTACCATTGAGTCAAATGCTGACTGACGTCTTTCATACTAATTGTTAGTCTATTATATTTACACTTAATTGACGATGGATTTTTGTCATTTCCCAATCATGACAAGGAGCACACAGCGGATGTGACCGGTCAGCAGGGGATGCTCACTCCTCCATGGCACCTGATCCCACCTCTGATGTTTTGGAGGTCCATGTTTGCTCGACTCCTATTTTGTATTGTTTTATTAACCTTGAATATTGTTGGTTATCTCTATATGTTTCATGTAACTTGTTTACCCAACTGTGCCACTCCCACAAGCCCAGCAGACCATAATCTAAACAAAGTAGTGTTGGCAACGAGTACCCGGTTAACCGGTTAACCGTCGAACGATGCGAGTATCGGTTAGTAAAACTGCTATTCGGTTACTCGCATGAAAAAAAAAATCTACAAAGAAATGCATATAAAATGATTGTTTTATAATTTATAAATGTATATACTTACACATTTCCCTAATTTTAGTTACCGTTAGACTTGATCTAATACATGGTTGCAGTAAATCAAATTGTTTTGATTAGTTTTCACAGTTTATATAATAGCTTTGATTGCTTGGGGGTATACAACTTTTGAAGGCCTGAGTTATGATTACCTCATTTGATAATTTAATGAGATGCCGCCTCAGACAAATTAATTATTGGAGTGTAACTGTAAGAAAGAACAGTTGATTCAAAATCTCAACAAATTAAGTATTAATTACGGAGTATGTAGATAATTATTATTCTCCTTGATAGCGACATATTTCGGGGGCTGAAAAGGAAAGCATAAGGAAAGCAATAGTGAGACCGTGATTGACGATGTCTTTATTTGTCTTCTTCATGTGTCAAATTTCTTATTTTCTTTAATCTAAAATCAAAATTCGTTGACAATATCGCATGTGTTTATTGTAAATATAATGCCCATATATATACAGTTTTTTTGTATATTACTACTACCGATAAGTAAAGCATAAGATGAATAAAAGATGTGGTTGCTTTTACGAAAAATCATCCGAGTAACCGGGTACTCGATCGGAAGATGAAGCGAGTAACCGGTTACTAAAAATCGTCCGATTTGCCAACACTAAAACAAAGTTGAATATGCATAATGTGGGAATGGCTGAATTTACGTCTCCATGTGCTTCTGTGGGAAAACTTTTTTGCAGACACCAGCATATCTGTTAATAAAATTGTCATGTTCATATAAAAAAAAAATCAAGAGGAGGTTCAGATGAAGAACAAACAAGGGCACCGCAAAGTGGAGTGTACACTCACAAAGAGCATGTCTACATTTCACAGACATCTGACCAATCACAGGAGTCTGAAGTTTTTATCACACAAAAAAAAAAAAATCTGGAAAAAAAAATTCCCACCCCCAACTAACAAAAACACATGTTTTTTTTTAGTTGAGGGTGGGAATTTTTTTTCTGCATTTTTTTTTTTTTTTTTGACGATAAAAACTTCAGACTCCTGTGGACCAATGCATAATATTAAATTAATAGATAAATCTCTAATTATTTATGACAAAATTTTACAAAATTAAAATATTTATTGTTTTAACATACAAGTAACGATGTATCAAAATCTTGCAATAAAAAGCAGTACATCACTGTAAAACCAATAACTCAGCAACAGCAGGAAAAAATAAGTAAATAATATCATATTATGCCAATATGTCTAGGAATATAGTAACATCAGTTTGAATTACTTCTATGTTTGATGTGGGAAAAGTCTGTTAGGTATTCTAAAGACAGGAATGAGTAAACAACTGTGTTTGTGAGGCTTGGTATAACGTCAATTACAGCCTCATTGTGAATAAATCCATACATCAGCTGAACGGGACGCGCCACCAAGATCCCAACACCCATGTAAAACAGGACTATCTGAACAGTGTAATTCATTTTATGGCAGCGATTGCAGAATGAGTTGGAATTAGCACAGGATTTTAGAATGTTTATGTTCCAGAATGAGATTCCTGAAAAAGAAAACAGCCATTTTTATGCATACATATATGTTCAAAATACTTAATTTTTGAAGGTTGTATTCTAAGGGAAACAATCCTTCTGCTCTCTATATACATGTAGACATGAGGAGGATGGTTTCAACAAGGTTGAAGATAAAAAAAATTAGGCAAATTGTTTTAGTTTACAATGCTGAGCAAAATTAGAAGATGCACTTCAAATTTAAATTTATCAACTTAAACTCAAGGTCCACAGACCTCTAACAAGGGAGATGACTTTTACAATGAAATAACTGTCAAATAACCATCACTTACAACTCTTGGAAAATTAAAAGCAATAAAGTATGGAATGATAAACCTTAAAGTATTGTCTGTCATTGCTTGGTCATTTTATTTTATGTATGTGAGCAAATAATGAGTGTATACCTGTGTCACTGGTAGCATTTATTACAGCAATCCAGAAATAAAACAATGCAATTGGAAGATAAAACACTGCATACTCCATCACAGTGTATAAACAATTTATAACCACGTCATTCCTACATACAGTAAAATAAACTTGTACATCAGTTGTCAAGTTCATGGATGCCGTCTGTTGCAGAGATTTTTCAGGATTTTGCCATATAAGAAGAGAAACAGATAACAGTGAATATAAAATCACAGCCCTTTTGATGAGCTTTTTATATGGTATTAAGGTTCCAGTGGAGATGACATATTTTGTAATGATGGTAAAAAATATAGCGTTGGCAATTAACGTTGGTACATAAAAGTCCCGACATCCATCGTCCTTGGGTCGAAGGCTCGAGATCTGCATCAAACGCTTGAAGTACCCTAACACAGAGGCGCAGTACAGTTCGTGTACAAGACCAGTTGTGACAATGACTACAGTTATCACAGTGTGTTTACAATCATCCAGCATCAGGAACAACAACACCAGGAAACCCGCCGAGAGAGTCCCGAACAGCACCAAAGACTGCAGAATCTCCACCACAAAAAATGTCAGCTCCATGTTTGATGTTTACTCTTCCTCCTCATACCATTAATTTGATTTTTTTTCAGGGGTTGTCTGGTCTTCTGCTAAAGAAAGGAATACGGAAAAGCATAAACAATATGTATAAGGTGATTGGAGTTTTCTCTAGTTTTATGGACTTGTAAAATTCTGTGGTGATTAAAAATAAAGATACTTTAGGCCATATAAAATTAATCTTTAGATTCTCATCCCCGCCCGCCCCTCTCAAAATGTCCCGCCCCGATGTTTTTTATTTTGATTTTTTGGGTATTTTTATTCAGTAAGAATTTGGGTCAAAGTTTAAGAGTTATCTCCTGTCTGTATTAACTCTTTACAACTTACTGAACTGTTATGCAACATACACTTAATGTTCACGTCATAGAAAAAGAAATTTACCATTTCCCCGCAAGCACCTTATAGCGTGGTGCAAGTTTCTCTAAAATTTAGCGTAAATTATGTTATGACGTAGAGTTTTAATACAAATATGACTTTTCTTATTTTATAAGATTTTTGCAAGAATAAAATAGAATGAAATTAGCATTAAATTAAAGCTTATATGAACTTTTTAAAGTGCGTGAAAAATGCGTGATTGCGGGGAAACGGTATATGCGTGATTTTGCGTTAGAAATAGGAAATGGTATATGCGTTAAAATGCGTGACTGCGGGGAAGGGGGTTAAAAGTCGTGTGCCGCTATTTATAGCAAAAACGCCATGTGAAGAATGGAGAAAAATCGGCAATAAAAGCAGTTTAAATGTGTAAGGAAAAGATAATTTGTCAGTATAGAGAAGACAGAGAAGAAAAAATAGCATAAACACATATAGATACCATCACTGGCAGGAGCAAGTATGTAGAGAGATTGTAACTACCTAAGTAAAAATAGACGAGGAAAATGACACCTGGTCAAGTTCTATATGAATAACGATCTCCAGCTGTGTGACTTAGCTTTGAAATAAAAAAAAATCTACAACATCGTACAGGGTTCGACACTAACGCTAGCCCGCTGGCCCGGGACAACTGAATATTGAGGTCGGGCTACCAAACATGTCTTTAAACTAGCCCTGCAGGGCTACAGTAAATTTTAACAATTACTAAGAGCAAGAAAATAATTATAATTTACACACAACATACCTGATAATTGTTAAATTTATTTTCAAACATGTTTTATCATCATAATTATTATTTTTGTAAGTCAAAATGTAAACTTAAAGGGTGAATCGAAATACCCTAAATGATTATAAATATTGAATTTTTTGAATAGAAAAATGTCTTAGGTACAATCATAGAGTGACATATAATTTTTACCCAAAATACAGCCAGCATGCAGGATATTGCATCTCTATTTTCAAAATTTCCCGGGGGAGGCCCCCCGTACCCCCACCAGCAGGAGGGGGAAACCCCCTCCCGCACCTACCCCCTCGTCGCTTCGCGACTCGGCCACCAGCCTTCGGCTTTTGGACAAGTAATACATGAACAGGGCTAGTAGAAATTAGAAATGGCTAGCCCTGCTGACAACTATGGTTTTAAAGTTAGTGTCGATCCCTGTCTTAGACAGACTTAAGAGAAGGCCTATATTTTTCAGTAGAATAATTATTAGAACATTTATATAGATTTTGCAAAATAAGAAGTCACGCATACACAATTTATTGGTATCCCCACCTCATTTTGTTCAGGGTGTGCCGTATAATGTGTACTTGATAATTTGTTAATTAACAATAAACATTTAACTTTTAAAGCAAAAATTTTCTTTAAATATTTAAAAGAATATGAAAAGAATTAAATCTATTCATATTTGCATTAAGGTAATGAAAAAAATGTGTACGGGGCGTCCATTGTTTTGTTGATACTTAGCCTATATATATAAATTAACAATTATAAAAAATAAAAAATAAAATCCGCCCACCCGCCCCAATTTTTTTGCAAATTAGGATGAGAATCTAAAGATTAATTTTACCTGGCCTTAAGGACCTTCAGTTCATACAAAATTTTAAATGCACTGATATCAACATGATCAACGTTAAAAAAAAGAATATATCCAACTTATTCAAATTTTTGAGCTAACAAATGCTAACAACTGAATCATTTTTATTGATACCAAATGTAAAACATGCATCTCTAGCAACAACTCGATCAATGTCATTAAAGTTTTCGCCTTCCACTGATCGTCCATAACATCTATCATATCTACAATATGCCAGGATAATAAAAAAGTTTATAAAAATACAGAGAAACTTCATTACAATACACAAAGCAAATACCTGTGAGTCCACATGAATCTACTTTCATTTTCAAAGAGCGGTTGTGAGGTAACTTTTAGATACATGTATTTCGGTCCGTACTTTTTTTGAGTTGTCCTAATTGTCAATTTCGTTTATGTTGTCAACATGCTTATTTGATGACATGTGAAAAAATATAGTGGGAGATCTTTTATTAATTTTAGCAACAAATTACATTTAAAAATGTGATGGGTCCGAAATTAAAGAGAGACTATACCAAAGAGAGACCCGCAAAAAACTGGTTCTTCAATCAAAAAAAGAGAACCAAATTTTTGCACAATGGAGAAAAAAGAATCAAGTAAGTATTTTACGATTCTTCAAAACTTAACTCACCAGAGTCTCTCAAAAAATATTTTTTTTTAATTAATAATGTGTGATTTAAGTTATTGACCAAGTGAAACACATCATTAAAATTAATATACTATGAAAATCAAGATTTAAAACTCCATCAAATCGAGGAAATTCGAAAGTGGTATGGTTTTATTGATGTGTAAAGTATTATTTTATAGATTATGAGTTTTAAAATAGTAGATTAATTTATTTTCCTATAAATAATTAGAATCTTGTAATATACTGAATCTGAAAACCCACTGGCTACATTTATACCACCAGTAAGATGACGAAATAAATACATAATTATTATTTGTGTGCATGTGTTTTTCATCAAATTTAAGCTGGATAATTCAACCTGATTAAGGTGCATCTCTGCAGTTGAATCAAGAGGCAGTAGCATAATCATTGCAAATATAAGTGACATCACAATGTTTTTAGAACACCGGATTACATGCACAAATTTTGTTAGGGCATTGACCAAATAAAGCTTTCAAATAGGTTTATTAGGTAACCTTTATTGGGTCAACATGGTCAATGCAAGAGGTAGCTGCAGGATAAATAAAATTTCACATTATTATTAAATTAATCCACGATTCCACATTGACATATTTTGTATAAAGGTAGAATTAAGGACCTCCAACAGAAGCGAGTGCTGGATGACGCGGCCCGCAGGAGAAGACAGAGGAAGGCGCTCGAGGCCCTGGAGCAGGATAATTTTCAGGACGACCCTCACGCTGACCTCAAAATGAGTAAAAAGGCTCCCAAGTTTGAGGAGTCGATGGAATCACCAGGTAAACAATGGCCGAGGCCAAAAATGTGACTTCACAATGTCCGATACCATTCATGATGAGGTCAGTAATCCACTAAGGATAATTAAGAAATACTTTTCAAGAGTTTTGAAAAATTGATAAATTTAACTCATGCAGGGAGAATCGGACGTATTAGTGTTGGATAATCGGGAAAATTTCATAATCGATAATCGGTCAAAATCGGAGAAGCTTAATCGATCAATGATCGACTTAATTGGTAATCAAGTACAAAATTCCATTTCTTTATAGCATTTATCATTTATAGAACAAACTAAAAATAAAATTTTATCAAGTTTATTCTAAAGACAACTTTTTGTTGTATAAGTAACAAAGAAATAGAAAAAAAATCAAATATTTACTCATAAAAACGAAAAATGTTTGTCATGACATCAGACTTTGCATTCCGCAGTTAGAATAATCTAACTGTGTCTCGGTACAAGTCCTCACCACAGTTAAAATACGTCCCATATATGTACTTGCAATGTAGCAAATCGGAGCGAATCAAGCTCCGAAACGATTTTGAAGAATATGAAAGGATTTGCACTGGAAATAACTTCCAAATTAATCAAAAAAACCTTTTTGAGATTGCTAATTCCTTTTATCCCAAAAAAAAATCCATCTAAAGACGAAAATCCAATGAATGTTCTCAACGTTTTTCTCTCACTTCAAATTTACCTGCCATGTTTACATTCGGAACTCTCTAGTTTGTCCGTAGTAAATGCACTGAGAACGAGTTATTGCCCGTGTTTCTTTTGCTACATTACGAATGGATAGAATAATCTGAATTTTATCGTTAAACCGGGTCCGTAGGACAATATTATTTTAATGATAGAACGTTCTATCTATGCATTCACTGGATATGGGTAAATTTCTAATTGATTGTTGTTAATTTCGTCTTCGGACGCCATTTTTGTTGACCACCTTTCGTTTTACATGTATTTTTAATGTGTACGTATTTGTTTTGTTCAAATAGTACAAGTTTATTTAGGCGAGTTTATTTGGGCGACAATCGATTATGAAAAACGTAATCGATAATCTGAATCGAACACCCAAAAACGATCGACAATCGATCGTCGGCGACAGTCGTTTCATCACTAGGACGTATTGTTTTAGTTATATAATTTTAGTTATATAACTAGGCTAGACTGAGTGCAACACCTGAGTGAAATACAAAATATACAATAATCATTTAGTTGTTGAATAAATACTATGCTTTTTCAGTAGAATAAGTGTCCTAGGATAAGGATACATAAATTTTCTTTGTTCAATATGTTTGTCTACTCGTCTAAATTATTTTTTTATATCTGTAGCACCAACAGGAAAGAAAAAGCGTAAAAGTAAAGCAGACAACTTCAAATTTCGATACAAGAAAAGTTTTGCTGCATTACTTGAAGAGGAGGTAATTTCAAAAGAGATTTAAAAATTCTCTTTGATTTTTTGGCCAGGAAATTCGTAAATACATGTATTATATTGTTTTGGTTAGTAGAAAATAATTCTTATAAAAATATTTGAGTCCAAATTTCAAGAGAATAAAATATGGAATTATTATTCATGAGGGATCAATGTTTGTGGATTTCATTGGTTCATGTCCAAATATGTTTATTATGTTTATTTTGAAAACATATTAATTCATTAAGTGTATAAAGAAGTTATACACAAAATAACTTCCCCACTAACAAGTAAAAATTTTGCTTGACCATAAAAATTGACCCCCACAAACTAAAATGGTTCCACATTATTTTAATGCATTTTACATTTCTTGTGAAACTGATATTTTTAAGGAATGTCTGATATTTAATTTTGTAATCTTCATGATTTTATCATTTCAGCACATGTTGAACAAAGATCCTCCAAACTACAACACAGCAGGGGTTCCCCCCTCGCGATTCCCCGACAGAAAGTTCTGTGCCGTTTGTGGATATCCTTTTTTATTTATCTGTGTTATGTATTAAGGTTCATAAACCCTCTGCTACATGTGTAACTTGTATAAATGTTGATTTAACCTTAATGATTTTCTGAGAAATAAATTTTATAAGTAAATTGCAAACAATTATTGCATAGCTTGTGGGGTAAAATTGGACATAAAAAAACTTCAACTTGGCAAATTTATAAACGAATAATAGACATTTGTGTCATCAAGAGTTATCTCTCTTATCAGAGTATCAATGAACCTTAAATGCTTTAAGCATCTGAATCAGTACCAAAAGAATAAGGTATTGCATGAAGAATGTAATCATAATACATTTCATCCACATGAATTTCACATGAAAAGAACAGATGAAATATATGTGAATTTTTTTTTTTACATGAAATTCTCTTTAAAGGTTAGGGATGTTTGATGCTTGTTATTATGACAATCTTTTAGTGACAAATATGCAATGAAAAATAATGCATCTAAGTCAGTTCTGAAAAGTAAAATTTTAATAAATGACATAGTTAATTAATTTTAAATTAAAGTACAATGAATATTTTTACAGTTTTTACCTGTCCAGACATATTGATAACAATATGAAGGATATTTTGTTTGAATTTTTCTTTGAAAAAAAAAGTAGCTTTTCAATCTTATAAGGTAGCTTTTATATTTTTATATTACTGTACAAAGTTTTTTCAGTTGCAAATAGATTAGCGATTTACAAATTACAATATACAGTTGTGTTTTCCTTAATGGTCTAACTTTTCCCTCTAATTACATGTGTGTACAGTGTACAGTTGTCTTTTCCTTAACAGTCTAACATTCCCCTCTAATTACACGTGTGTACAGTGTGGGGCCAGGTACTGTTGTGTGAGGTGTCTCGGCACACATCAGGATACAAGGTAGGAAGCTTCATTATATGTTGTTTGTAATTTCTTAATCGCCTTAAAAAACATCAGCATGTCCGGACATTTTAGCTATAGAACTGTAGCACTCTGGTTGACAAAAAAGGACATTCTGAATTTTCTCAACAGTCTGCAGAGCTAAATTAAGTTCTGCAGCCAAGAGGTCTTTTAGGATAAAGTCAGAGTTCATAAAGTAGATGTGCCATGATTTTTAATGCTAGATCTCTGGAAGTTCAAACTCTCAAACTCGGTACCCCTGGTATGTGGGTTTCATATAGGGGTTATAACCTTTTGTTTTAACAAGGCTACAAAGTTTAATTTGTAGCATAATTTTTTGCTAGATGGCAAAGTTTTTTAAAGGCTATTTCATATGTGCGTGGTGCAATGGTTCGAGCATCTGCTCGAAATTCGCGAAGTAAGGAGTTGATCCTTACTTAACGGGTTCAAATCCCCAATGGCCCTGAGTACGTACATATGTACAAGCATATGACAAAATTTGCAGCTTTCCACTGGGAAGTGGTAGCATCTCCATATGAATGAAAAATTCTCGAGAGGGACGTTAAACAATATACAATCAATCAATCATATGTGCTCTTTCTATTGGCATTAACATCAGATTTGATTGTAAAATTTAATATATCAGTGTACATTTTTTTTTTATTTTAAGGTGCCTGAAGTGGACGGCCTGATGATCTCTTTCTTTCTATAAGGAAACTGTGCCCTCATGGAATCAGTTGACTGAAAATATAAATGGATGGCAAAACACTGCTGTGATAGACAAGACATGTGCTTCACAAAATCAATCCTTGGAGACCTATCGTCACAGAAAGAAAGCCATTTGGTGAAGCATGTACAAACTGAGAGCTGTTCACATCTTGGACAGAGTCAGAAGTGGGGCAGTTGTTTTTCTCATTATAATATAGTGTGTCTATATGCCCTTAACTGAAAGTGAAAATCAAAAGATAAATTATTGTAATTGATTACTTTAGCTGACAGTTTATTTTTATGTAGGTCACTTTCAAAGACCCATTGGCTACTGTGCTCACCTTAATCATGATGAAAAATAAAAATGTAATGTTGTGACTAAGCATATGCCAAGATATGTAAAATTGTCATGTTTTGAATAATAATTTTTGCATATAAATGTTGCAAATCACAAATTTAAAGGTCATAGTGTTTTTTTAAAACAATAATAACATCCCTAAATATCTGTATGTGTGTGATTTATTTCCACGGGGGGGGGGGGGGGGGGGGGCATGCTTTATGCACTCTTCTCATTTTTGTTTTGTTTACAGAATGTTTTATATCAACCACTTGTAAATTTTACCTTTTGCATTCTTCTCATGTAGAAGCTTCTAATGAACTCTGCTTCATGAATGTACAAACAGGTAGGCAAGTAAGTTAGCACAACTAGTGCACATTGGGATTGAATCCAACAGTTTGGTTTCTTTAAAAAGCCAAGTGCCTGTGATTCACCTATGAAAGCCTTCCTTTGAGAAATATATTTTGTGTAGGCTACATTACAATAATATAAACTTAGATGAACATTTTGTTTTAAAGGCTGTGCTATTGTTACTTTGTTGTTACAGCTTCATGGTGAACAATTTACATGAAATCTATTTTAAATTACACATTTTTCCAATACAGCCAAGAAACTTCTCTTCAGGTATTTCTTTTGTATTTTTATTAGAACACATGCATATTGCTTTTTCCATATTCTGATATTGATAACTTTTGAGCTCACCTGAGCCTTTGGCTCAAGTGAGCTTATCTGATCAAAACATATCCATTAACTGTTGTCATCATTGTTGTCATCTTCATTGTCATAAACTTTTGAAATTTCCTCTTTTCCTCAAGAACCACTGGGTCACTTTCAACCAAACTTGCCACAAAGTATCTTTGGATAAAGGGGATTCAAGTGTGTGCAAAAGAAGGGCCACACCCTCTTCCAAGGGGAGATAATTATGAATTAATGAAAAAATAATGGCACAATTTCTAAAATTTTTCTCAAGAAACACCGGGCCAGAAAAGATGAAACTCATGTGGAATCATCCTCTGGTAGTGTAAATTCAAGTTTGTTCAAATCATGAACCCTGGAAATTGGATGGGGCCACAATGGACGATCAAAGTTTAAAATTGGAATATATAGGAAAAATCTCAAGAACAGCAAAGCCATGATTGGTGATATTATTATGGAAGCATCCTAAGGTAATGTTGATTCAACTTTATGATATTATTATGGAAACATCCTAAGGTAATGTTGGTTCAACTTTATTCAAATCATGACCCCCAGGGGTAGGGTGGGGCCACAATTGATGATCAAAGTTTAATATAGGAATTTATAGGAAAAATCTGAAGAAAAGCCATGATTGGTGATATTTAAATGGAAGCATCCTCAGGTAGTGAAGATTCAAGATTGTTCAAACCAGAACTCCATTGGGGTAGGGTGCATCTGCATGTAGTTAAGATTCTTATTTTTCAAATCGTGACCCTCGGGGGAGGGGCCACAATGGGAGATCAATTTTTAGAAAGTAATATGTAGGGAAAAAAATCTTTTCAATATTTGTATGCTATTCATGTATTGATATGGTGGCATTTTCAAGTAGTATCCCCCCTTCCTCTCCTATAGCTTTTAAACTTTTCAATACTGAACTGATTTGCGCTTTACAAGCCCATGTGCTCAGGTGAGCGATGTGGCCCATGGACCTTTTTGTTTTAATATCTGCATATACATGGATGTTAAAAGACGTAAAAGATTTTTTGAATGAAACTCTGGTCTGAGATTAGGACTAAGGGCGCTGTGTTTATATTCATATTATGGAAATTAATATGCTGGCGGCAGATTAGGCACAGGCATGTAGACAAACAAAAAAAATAGGAAAATTGATTGCCCAACTCAAACATCCTGTTTGGAGGGCTTGGGTGCCCATCTTCTTTTGTAAGCAAACTTTATTCACACATTGCCACATTATCCTGATCCTGCTGTAACAAAAGGTGTAAGGGAGACCAGCCTTCCATAACAAAGTATTGCCCCACCCCCCCACCCCTTCACCCACTATACCCCCCCCTTCACCCACTATACCCCCCCCCCCCCCAATACTACATGGATGAAGGTTTTAGAAAATGGCGGTTAGCAAGCTGTATATCTGCAGTGAATGGAAGAGATTAAATCAATCTAGGAAGAAAACAATATTGATGCTTTGTGTTGTATTATTTTCAAAATAATGTAATGTAGATCAGATAAAACAAAATCTTCACCAGGATGTCACTTGTGCATTGATAGAGTCCGTCGGTACGCAAAAGAACAGCATATGTTTAGGGAGAAAATACAAAGCATTATTAAGGCTAATTATAATTCCTTACGGTTGACTATTGACAACCAATTTTATTTGATATTTTAGCATTCTGTCGACTGACATCTCTTTTCTCCTTTTTTCAATGAACGTGTTCTAGTTCTTTCTCGCTGTTTTTCTATTATTATTTTTTTTTTGGTTTGAGGGGTGGGGTAATCAATGATAAATAATATACAGGCACGTAGCAATTTTTTATATATTTTTTCCCTGAACATTACCTTATCTATTGAAAATGTTAATTTAATGGTTGGTTGCCCCACCTCCCCCCCCCCCCTACTTTTTACCACAGTAAAGTGATATCAAGGAAATGTAGTATTAAATGTTAAAAAGAAATTGGAGGTGAAAGGAAGTTGGCATTGAAAAAAGTTTGCTTGTCAACTTTTACATGTACGTAAAAAAAATTCTTTGGCTGCCCCCCCCCCCCCCCCCCTTTCAAGAACGTTGCCACGTGCCTGGTATACACATGTAAATGACTGTTAGTATTTTTTTTTTAAATTTCATTGAAAATTTAAACAGAAATCATCCTATTTTTATTAATTTCGAAATATGCCTTGGGAAACACGTATCAATATCCTCACGGTTACATAGGTTATTGAGGGGAGGATATTGACCTTGTGGAAAATAACAATTAAATTTGTTTAAAACTAGATCTTTGTATATTTTTTCCTCAAAAGATATGTAGTACAAAGTTGGGTTTTTTTTCAAATGGGAAGGGCATTGCTTAACAAGGAAAAAAGATCAGTCAAAAAAAGCCAGAAAATTAATGTTTGAACCAAAGAAAAAAAAGAAAGAAAAAATTAATTAAAAACTTAAAATGCATGGAAAACCCAATTTATTGGCAGGAAAAATAATCCTTTAAGTGTTTTCCTATGGTATTATGTTACATGGTGTAGTGATATGATGTGTGATACATGTATATGTTTTCTAATACTTAAGAAATTATTGGCGATTCATTACTACCAAATTTGGATATGATATGACGTATAGTAAAGAGTTATATATGACAGCGATTTTTCCGAACAACCCTCGTTTTTATATATAATAAAATGGAATTACATGTTAAAAAAAAAAGATATGCCTCTAAGTTTCACAGATTTTACAATCTTATTGATCAACCAATCACGTGATGACAAAAACAAAGTCAGCGAAAAAGGATACGCGTATATATATATAGTGATAAATTAATACTCCTATAGAAGCTAACGAGAAGACAGAGCGTGGTAAGGGTATAAGGTAAGGATTTTATTAGTCTCACGTGAAATTACAAGTTCATTTTTTCCCCTAATTGTATACCGGTACTGAGAATCGAATAGCCTTAATATTATATTTGCAGAATCATGTTACCTGTAAGATTTTTCAAAAATAAAAAAAGTCATTTAATAGGTATGATGTATATGCGAGGGGTTGTCCCAGAAAAACGCGAACATTTTCAACATCTTTTGCTTCTTTAAGACTATCAAGGTAAATATTGGCATTTAGAAAAAAAATTGAATGTTGCCTGAAAATTTCAATGAAATATCTCTATATAAACATAGGCCTATGACGTCCTGCTCCAGTCTTTTCAGTTAGTCTTCATTTTAGTGGTCTATTCTCTTCTATCGGAAACCAGTCAAATCAACTTAAAACCCTTTTAACTAGATATAAATCTGTTTCCCATACTTATGTTTTTTTTATCGTTAACATCTTATTTCCTTTTTTTTTATTTCCCTTTTTATTTATTATGTACAGGAGTCATATCCCGCTCTGACAATATGATGTTGTTTGATAGTTTGGTGCTCCACATTACCACCAAACGTCACCATTTTTGACAATGTCTAACTTAAAATGCTTTGGTACATATCGATATCGTTATATATTTTGTCATTAATAATGTCATATGACAAATAAATGAATTTTTAAACACAAGTACACCAAATTGTAGAATACTTTTGTCGATAAATTTTGTGACATTATATTTCCGTAAAGCCTGATAACAAAGAAAACTTCATGAATTGACAATGCTATTTGTAAAGTTCAAAAAATTGTCATGCGCCGACCACCGATATTCAACACCCTTTAAATGTTGTGCATATGACATCACAGACCCATATAGTATTTTGTCAAAATAACAAAAAGACCATTTTCAAACAACATGCTAAAAATTATGTTTTTGTTGAATGGTATTTGATATATTCAAAAAGTTCGCGTTTTTCTGGGACAACACCCCCCCTCCTCCCGATATGTATCATTAATAGTAATTTAGGTCCTTAATGATCAAAATTCGAGGAAAGCTAGGTCATCGAAACGCACACACATCTATTCAATCTCAAAGTCGTGGTTAATGCTCTCTCTCTCTCTCTCTCATTCAAACGCTTTCTCTCCACCGTCCAAGTTACGAGGCCGCGGTTGAATTGCTGGAGAAGTAATATGTAATTTGTTCGGAAAGTTTGCAGACCATGTTATTTTTTGATACATCATGTACTAGTATACGCGGTTTTGAAGAAATTTAAAATGAGCACATTATCATGATATTATGTAAAAATATTTTTTGTGTGTAAAATGTGTATGTTTTCATTCCTTGTAATTTGATAGAAGGTCAAAAAAAAAAATCCCTAATACATTTCATTCAAAATGGACCAATATCCACACATCATGCATGGACAGATAGTAATCGCAACTTCACGGGCCTTTCCGTCTAGCGGAAAAGCAATTTTTTTTCCGACCTCTGACGGAAAGACCCAAGATGATGCGACATTGGAACACATAGGTGACCTGCAATAATGTTTGCCAGGCATAAAGTGGGAACTTTTTGGCGTCTACTAAAATCCCTTATTTGTCCAGATAACTTCTCCAGCAGCTTTATATATCCGAAATGTTCATCTTACTTGAGTTTATTTTTTTTGGACAAAATATGAAAAAAAAAATTAATACCCATTCGGCAATCCCCATGACAAAAATTCCAGCAAGTTTACGAACTTTGTTATTTTTAGGCAAAATATTGCAAATAGTGTACCCCATCGTCGCAAGCCACGAGTTCTGTGTCCATTCTATTCCTACAAGTAATAGCTTGTCAGTTGCAATTCTGTTTACATTGGGAGGAGGGGGGGTTAAATTATTTCACAAGAGTGAATTATGTATATAGATATTGCACAAAACATCATGCATTCATTTTAAGTTGTATGCTATATACTCAACAGAGCAAATGGAAAAAGGACAACTTCTAGGAATTCGTGCAAGTTCTAAGTCACCGATAGAAAAGGATAAAACCCTTGTCTGGACTATATTTTTATGATTTGCGTTAAATAAAAACTTTCTCTAGCTGATCTACTGCACAAAAAATCTGAAATCTATTCATTATTATTTTTTTGTTTTTGAAAAATCTGTTCAATTCTTATATGCTCATGCACAGTTTTGGTCTTTGTGTATAGTTGGAATTGTCGAGGTAATGCAAAATACATTTTCATTGATTTCTAATTTGTTTTCTGTTTCCTCTTTTCTCGTTAAAGGTAATAGATTTTAATATTTTAATTATTCAGACCACTTTGCAAATATAGAACGTCAAATACTGTTTTTTTTTCTTCTCTCCATTCTTTTCAATTGTAATGTACCATATCACTTTCAGATACCAGTACTATACGTTTTGAAAACAGACATTACAGAACAAAATTTTACAAAATATAGCCAATTATCACTCCCTTGAGCACAGTAATTTTTATATTTCAAAAGACAAGTTACATGTGGTATTCAGCAAGCAAGAATACACTGTAGCTATTTTATGAAATATTTTACATGTAATGCACATCAATAGAAGCAAATTCGGAAGGTAAACAAACTCAGTGTCGGGGGAAATCCCAGCCCCTTATCAATGAGATCTTGCGGCTCTCACAAGCAGCAAAAGAGATTAAGTTTCTCTGACTGGAGTGTGGTATCTGCATCATGCATTGAAATTTGGTTATATTCATTTGAAAGAACCAGGGATGAAAAATGTAGTCTGACATTTTGGAATCTGTCGCATAACCAATATGTGTTTTTTCTGTGTGTATGTGTAAAAAACCACTAATTAGCATGGAAATACGAAAAGGTGGGTTCAGAATACAGATGACAGGTTGACAAAGTCAGAACGAAATGTGATAATAGAAAGGATGGTGTCAAACTTATTGATTCAGTTCCTGGAACCAAACTGACGTTTTGAAACGTAATGCTAAGATTCTATGTGTTAGAACAGATAATGGCGGCTGAAAAGGCAAAGAAATTCCAGCAGGAGGGAAACCAGAGGGATGTAGCAGCGTACGCCCAGAATTATGGGGCCCACAGAGAGGGAATCTCGATGAAGGAAGTAGCCGATTACTACACAGAATGGGCCAACTCTAATAAATATGACGTGGTAATTGTTATTTCAAAAGTCTGTTCATTTTGGGTACATTTTATTGAATTACATATGTAAAAACATTCTGTGTATAAAGTGTAATGCAATACTCAAATATTGTTTCGAAAATATTTATCTTAATATAATGTATTTAAATTATATGTATAAAAGGGGTATCATTATTATCTTATTCATTAATGTACATGAGTATGATTTTTCTTAGAATTTAGCGAAGTGTAAAATTAAAAGAAACCTTTCATGAAGGGCTTTGACCCCATAATTCCGTCATACATGCATTCATAAGAGTTTTGGTTGTGCATAGAAAAATTATTCAGATAAAAAATGAGCATTTGGTTTTTCCTTTTGTAAAAATTTCAAGAATAATAAAAATTTCTTCAGATCATAACTTTGGTAAAATTTGATCGTACATGCAGCTGTACAAGAATAACTAAAGTTCGAAATATCGAAATATCTGACGTTTCCCTGGCTTTTTTGAACGATTTTGATATTTAACGTGCGAGACACAGACACTTGTTTCGTATATGGGGCACCCCCTACTTCTTTGTGGAAAAAATAAGGTGGGGGTACCCCGGAAACGAAACAAGTGCCCATGGTACAAAACCCTCCATGTAAAAATCCAGGGAAAGTTAAGATATTTCGGATACAGAATGATCTGTATGCCTTTAATTGTGTATAAGTATCTAGGACCAGACCGGTATACCAGTATGACCTGTATGACTTTTATTGTGTATATAGGATCTGGGACCAGACCGGTATCAAGGACCAAAGCTGGCCGCTGAAAGTCTCTGTGACCTGATTTCTGAACATCGTGAGAGTGTTAGAATTCTAGACATTGCTTCTGGAACTGGATTTCTTGGACAAGAGGTTAAGCACAGATCTAATTTTGTTTTCATTCCTAACCAAGTTATTTTTCGAAATCTGTGTGTTTTGGCATGGTATCAAATTTAACAAGTTTGAAGGGGATAGAAATTAACTTTTTCTATTCGAGATTTTCTGCAAGAAATCGTATTGTTTATCAAAATTATTTTGCAAGTAAATATATCTTATTTTTTTATATTGAAATAAATTTTATTTCATTTTATTAAAACATGGTGGGTGCATTATGCTTCTCAAAAGAGAATAATGGTGTTGTCCTTTACTTAGAGCATCTTTTGCTTTATAGCTCTGGGACAGAGGGTTTCGCCTAATTGACGGCTTAGACCCTTCAGAAGGAATGATTGAGGCGTCCAGGAAAAGAAACGTATATTCCAAGCTCATCTGTGATTTCATGAGTGACAAAATGCTCAATGTTCAAACAGGTATTCATAAAATATCACGGAAAGTATACCTTAATACATGTATGTTTATGATAATTTTGGATATTCTTGAATTTGACGAAAAAAATAGTACATTTCTCGGATTACCTTGGACTTTCAGGAGGGCGTGGCTTTCTCGACACTGCGTAATTAGTGTCTCTCAAATGGCGAAAAGATTCTCATTGGTTTAGAAATTAATAACATCAACAACTTTAAATTGCTGTTGACAACGATGAGAAGACTTAAGCCCCGCCTCTTTGTCATACGAAAAACTATCATTGGATCATTTCTACAGTCGTTGACATTCGCCGAAATGTATATTTAGACCGTGAGTGTAAGGCTATTTAATTTCAGACGCTAATTAGGTAACGTCGAGAATACCACGCCTTACTAAAAGTCCAAGGTTGATTGAGATTTGTACTATAATTAGTTTTTATCTTAAAATGAAGCATTTCCCCTCCTGTAGATACTTATGATGCAGCTGCCATTGCAGGCGGTATGGGGGAGGGACACATTCCATGCAATGCTCTGTACGAGATGATTCGTATTGTAAAACCTGGTAAGTCGTTCTTCCTGGTTCAAAGCAAAGTCCAGTTGGTAAGATGCAATCATTGGTTTATTAAATATAGTAAATTCACTCCATTTGCAATCACTGGTTCAAAGTTAAACCGGTGAAAGATTCTTCATGGAAAAGTTTGGAAAAGGTGTCTTTTTTAGTTCATGTTGAAATATGATATTTTGCTCTTTATGAAAATCTGATAGGTTGCTTTTTTGTGGTGAATTCTGGAGAGCATATTACTAGTTTATTATGAAAAACTGCTTTTTCTAATTGCACGTAATAATCAATTGAATGGGTTATATTTGTAAAGTTTTTAAAAATAAAATATGGAGTTAAAGAACGAAAATTAAGCTCTAAAGTCCTTTGAAATACAAGAAATTTGGATGAGAGCAAACACGGATCTCTAGAAACACCAGAAATGGGATCAGGTGCCATGAAGGAGAGAGAGTCCCCTGTGGACTGGTCTCACCCGCCGTGAATTCCTAATCAAAGCAAATCTGTAGACAATGCAGTGTGTAAACAATGGCCTAGGATAACGAACAGTATAAAAAAAGATGTTTTCTTCAGCTTACTATTGTTTGCAGCTGACTGTAAAGTTTCACGTTACGTCACGATCTAGTTGACAGCTGCACTCAAGGTAAATTGTACACGCCTCCTAACCGCAAGCTTTACGACTGGAACTTTCTTTTTGATTGGTTGCTCGTGCAACAGACTATTTCCCTATCAATGTTGATAATTTGAGTTGACCAATCACGTGAATTGTTTACGCTGGATGCATCTGATAAAAAAGATCGTGACGAAACGTGAAACTTTACAGTCAGCTGCAAACAATTGTAAATTGTAAACAGAGTGCCTTTTTGTTTTTTACGATATTTTACTGATTTTTGACATTTTCTGTATTGGTGGAATTGTAACTGTAAAAGCTTTATTTGGTTTGTGACATTTCTAAGTGCTTACCTTCTTTCTAACTTTGTAATCTTTGATATTTTCAGGTAGTTACAATATAACTGTAATCTTTGATATTTTCAGATTGATTTATTGTAACTTTAATGTCTGATATCTCTACGTGGATACATTGTAATTGTAATCTTTGATTTTTTTTCAGGTGGTTACATTGTAATTGATATTTCTGTGTGGTTACATTGTAATTGTTATCTTTGATTTTTCCAGGTGGTTACATTGTAATTGATATTTCTATGTGATTACATTGTAATTGTTATCTTTGATTTTTCCAGGTGGTTACATTGTATATTGATATTTCTATGTGGTTACATTGTAATTGTAATCTCTGATATTTTTATTTGATTACATTGTAATTGTAATCTTTGATTTTTCCAGGTGGTTACATTGTATTTGTAATCTCTGATATTTCTAGTTACATTGTAATTGTAATCGTTGACATTTCTATGTGGTTACATTGTAATTGTAATCTTTGATTTTTCCAGATGGTTACATTGTAAATGTAATCTCTGTGTGATTACATTGTAATTGTGAATGGTTACATTGTATTTGTAATCTCTGATATTTCTAGTTACATTGTAATTGTAATCGTTGACATTTCTGTGTGATTACATTGTAATTGTTATCTTTGATTTTTCCAGGTGGTTACATTGTATTTGTAATCTCTGATATTTCTAGTTACATTGTATGTGGTTACATTGTAATTGTAATCTTTGATTTTTCCAGATGGTTACATTGTAAATGTAATCTCTGAAATTTCTATGTGGTTACATTGTATTTGTAATCTTTGATTTTTCCAGGTGGTTACATTGTAATTGTAATCATTGATTTTTACAGGTGGTTACATTGTAATTGTAATCTTTGATTTTCCCAGATGGTTACATTGTAATTGTATTCTTTGATTTTCCAGGTGGTTACATTGTAATTGTGATGAGAGAAGAATATCTAGAACACGTGCAGGACTACAAAGACAAACTAGAACCATTAATGAAGGAACTTGAAATTTCCGGAAAATGGAGTAAACTATCCAGAAAAGTCGTACCAAATTACTCATTCCAAAATAATGGTGTCATTTTTATATTTCAAAAATGCTAATTTAAAATCAAAAAGATGGTAAATATCAAAAGTTTATATATTTGGAGGTATATTATTAAATATTTTTCGTTTGTGTTCAAAAATTTTGAGTAAAGACTTTCATTACAAAGTATATGTTTTATTGTATAACATGTATCAACGGTATATATTTTACTGGTTTATATATCAATAAATGGTTGAATACGAGTATTTGTCTTATATCCACACTATTGTGTTGCAAAATAATATTAGTGATCTCAGGATCTGTTGCCTTGACAACGGAAGCGACTGCATGCTGATTGATAATTACATCTTTTCTTTGTTACCTTCTATGTACCTTATAAACGATAAGAACACGTGTAATCTCCCAGTAAAATTGATTCAAACGACAAAGTACTGCAATGCTCTTGTATTGAACACGTGGAAACTAAAATAGGGATTTTATTTTTTTTTTTTTAGTTTTCAGCGATATTGAGAGGTCAATTAGAGGTCTTTTGTGACGAAGAGTATTTTTTCCCTGTTTTTCACATGATATACGTCAATTTCTTTTTTTTTTATATAGTAATAGTCTGTCATATCGACTAACAGTTATTTTTCCTTCATTATTTCATACACAAGTTGAAGTTTTGTCATATCGACTAGCAATTATTCTTTTCTATACTGATTATTTTATGAACAATGTCAGGTGGTAGTTTTGGTAACATACAGTACAGTAGTTTATCTAATTTCTTTTAATTTCCCACAAGAAAATCGAGATAATTATATTTGTATTGAGCTGATCAACATCATTAGTACATGAACAATGATATCATGACAAGGAGTGTCGAATTTCAAGCTAATTCTGAGGTTTTATATATACAACGGTTTTCTTACAGAAGAAACTGTCTCGTGAACAAAAAAATTAAAACAACGGCTGTACATATGTTAGATAAGGTTCGATAAAAAATAATTATGTTGACTTTTACCAGCATCTGTCAGCTACGTATTACGTAATACATCGCGTGATTTCAAACGAAGGAAACTGCTGAGCATCGAATAACAATAATTTGCATTAAGAAACCAGGAGGCATGATAGACATTCTGTCAAAAGAAGTAATAGATATTTTAAAACTTTTTTTAAAAATTGGTGTTGTCATCTGTTACATAATCCCATCTTTGATAAGTTCAACATTTTTTACTTCTGATAACCTTTGAACTGAAACCCGTCATCTGCTATGCTATATAGTTTCATATCTTCGATTATAAGGATTTTCTTATCATGCACATACGAGTAGTTTTTTTTTTTTTTTTAAAAAACTTAAAATATTTGAAGGAATATAGTTTAGCTCAATCTGATTAAAATCCTTTGATCCGCTCACAATGATCGCAACCTTGTGTACTAGTGATCTACATGCGGGTGGATCAAAGGATCTGATTTTAATCAGACTGAGTTCAACTGGGACTAGCTTTGTAGATTTCTGAGTTTTTTTCTGTTAATTCAGGCACAGTCTGCTCTACAGGTTTATGTTTCAACCAGGCACTTGATTCGCGGAAATTATACATGCCAGATTAAAACTTTCATTACAAAAACAAGTGCGCCGGTGACTGCAACTCATATAGCTGTGTAGAAAAATCACACACAACCACACACACATGCACACCCTCTTTAATAATAGAGATTTATTTTGATAATTATGATTTCAAGAAATTTAAATTGCTTGTTTTATTTACTTGTATTTTTATTATTATTAAACGAATTCATTATTTTTTCTTACTTAGTAAAGATTTTTTTAATGTAACTAAAATCATCCATATATGCTTGACATTTGAAAAATTAATAATTATAAAAACCTTATGTTTACTATATTTTTGTTCGTCATTTAAAAAAAAAGAAATATTAAAGCTGACTTTTGGAGAGAAAAAATATACCACGTATCAGGGTGAAATTATGTAGTATCTGATTGCCCAGTTTTAAGCTTACATGGAGTTCTTGATCTTTGAAATACCAAAAACTCTAGTTTATTTTAATTCGATTCAGAAGTAACCCGAAAGGGTACCATCGTCACACCCTCACAAAGGCTTGGAATTAAAAGACTGGGTACTTTTTGGCAATATTGCATGCGCGGATCTAACGGGGAACCGGACACCACCTCCCTCTCGAATTTGCAGAATTATTAAATGTATATAATAAACCAACCGAAAGTGACCTTGGATCCCCTAGGTAACGCAGACCTCACCTCGAAAACACAGATCTGTTGGTATAAATATGAAGCTTTAAATGACAATGAATTAATTCTCATAAACTGACAGAAGTACAGTGTTCAGAAAGATTACAAGTATAGTTAAACATATGTGAAAAAGAAAAAAGAGTACAAAGTAACAAAACTAACAATGAGCTAACCAGGAGAGCCAACTCTCTCAAAAATAATTTTTATAAATTTACACAGTTTTGTAAATTTAACTGAATTTTTTGTAAAAGTCAATGACAAACCTCCCACCCCAACCCTGACAAACCTCCCACCCCAACCCTGGAAATAGGTTTTTAACTACTGGAAAAGGAGTTAACTTTTTTGTTGCTACTCTAAGATGTATAAGGTGACCTTCAAGACTTTGATTTCAGAATCAGGTCGCGTACGCGTCGTAAGACAACAGTGCACTTCATTCTAAATGGTTATCAAGTTAAACCCATAAACCCAAACACAATCTCATTTTTTTCCAATTCATTTTGTCATTGCAGATTTTTTCCTTGGCTGTGTGATATTCCGTTTTTACATTTTTCATTGAAAGTTTATAAGTGACGTTAACTGAAAAAAGGGAAAATTAATTCAAATAATGAGTACACAATTCGAGAATTTTGTAACTCCAAAAGAGTTATTCTTCTTTACCTATGAGCAGATGTTTTAAGGATGTAGACCGCTTGTGGGGATCGATTTTATTACAAACAGATTGGGTATTTAAAGATAATAGCGACTACGGTTACAATTCAGGACCTCCTTGCTTTAAAAAGTTTCTTTTTTCCTTGATTCATTGAACTCTGAATAAAACTGCAAAACAGCACCCACATAGCTACAATAGTTACAGAGTAATTTTCATGAAGCCACTATAGCGATGCTTAAATCAACCCAACCCCTTAATAACGAATAAAATTTTCTTTTTTAAGTAATAATTTGAGGACCAATTTATTTGGCCCTAATTAAAATAAAAAGAAACACAAGATTTGTTTGCATAAAGGGCGATGCCACCGTATGGCAACAGTGGCAACTCATTGCCAAGGTCAAAGTTTTTCAAATGAAGGTCAACCTCCAAGGTCAAGAGGTCAAAATGTCGATACCAACAGAAAAGTCTTGTCACAAGAAATGCACACGTAAAATATAATAGCCAGTGTAACAACTTGGAAAATATGAGCAAGGTTAACGATTTTCAAAAAACATCAGCTATGAAAAACATAAAGGTACCAAAGGAAAGGAATTGTCACAAGGAATGTCTATAGGTGATTACTGAAACACGAATCAGTGAAGGCCCTGCCACCATCCAATCAAACAATATAGGTAAGATTAAATTAAGATACATGTCTCTCCTTTTCACCTTCTTGAAATTCAAGTTATATTTATAGTGAGGAAAAGAAATAAAGTATTTGATACCAGCAGCAGTTAAATCTAAAGATATCTTTAAATTAAATACATATAATAAAAAGTAGACATTCACATGATTTTTTTCTGCTAAAGTGCAATAAGCTTATAATGGGTGTCAATATTTTTTTAACACCTGCGTGTTTGTTATTCAAATAATTATTTTAAAAATATTTTAATCTATCAATATTTGGGGGGCTTGTCGGTCCGATAACATCAACAACTTCGAATCCGACTTTGACATGAAAAAAAAAACGTTGACGCGAAGCAGAGAATGCAAGTGACAAAATCTCGATAATTAAACACACAATCTTTTTTAAAAGCTCTCCATTTTTTAATGATCAAGTGTTCTTGAATGTCGAGCTTTGTACATTCCACGTTTCTATTGAGAAAACACCGGGTGATCGGCGTGTGTGAATGCAACTGTTTACAATTAAAATTTCCGTCTTTCATCCCTTTTGAGCCTCTATTGAACTTTTCCCCATTCAAACTGGAGAGAAATTTTGTTTCTTCATCCGTGAACACTTCCCTCACACTCTCGATGTGTTAATGCTTTTTGTCGTCAAATGTCAATAAGATTGGAATAAAAACGCCAATCCGGTCTTCTTAATCATGGAGGATTTCTGAAATGAAATTTGGAAACGCCGCGCAACATTCTCAATAAAAGCATTGACAAAAAAGGGGTTAACTGCATTCTTTGAATGTAGTGACTGCATTTGGGATCGAAAACCGATATTTAACCCATTGGAATAACTTTAATGGCTTCCGAAGACGTGTTATCCGAATTATCCCTATCCAAAGCAACGGTTTTGTAAGTATACTGACATTTAACATTCTCTTTAATTTGTATCGTGTCCTTCTTGTTCTTCTGAGGAAGATTTTTTTATTTTTTATATTTAATATTTTGAGAAAAAAAATGTAAACTGTGATAAACATCTTTTCTTCTTTTGATAATTTTTCTGTATCAATTTGTTTCCAGCTCAGGGAAGCAGAAAATTAAAACTACCTTAATCTAAATTCTGAACAGCATATTAAATTTTACTCAAATATTTAATATCCATGTACCATATATTGACAAAAATTGATCCCCATGTTATTGTGAGGTTCTCTTCGTATGAATAATACATGAGATTTTAATTGTATTGACCATACTAATTCAGGGATTGAAAAATGTTTTGCCATTTAAAGAGATGTAATACTTTTGACTTTTCAACCGTTATGTAACAGTGTTTTCCATTAAACATCCCCTTTTTGATGTGAGCATCTACTTCTTTAAAAGATTGTATAAAAAGGAAATGATCGGTGTGTTTGGATACATTAACTTCATGAAAAGTTTTCTCCGGTGGTAAATATTTTGTATAAAGAATTCTAAAGTCGGCATTATACTTTTGCTGTGTCCAATTCATCAATTTTTCAATATATCATTGATGTCAAAACTTCTCCCAATCTTAATTCCTTTTTTCCTGATATGCTTTTAGGTTGGCGAAAAGAGAGTAACTGTTTCTACTAACAGGAAGCCATTCCAACAGAGTCTAAAGGTAGCGCCATGGTTCAGCGAAAAATAACTCAATTTCCTGTCGGTTCACATTAGGCACTTTGTAGATAATCAGCCCGAAGAACAAAGAATGGTAAAAGACTAACTGTCAAATAGAGGGCCTTGTCCGTAGAAGTTTAGCGCTACAAAGGAAAAGAATATTGTGAAAGCTGACGGGGCGAGCGCGAGCTAGACAAATTTGATTTATAAAGCGGGGGAAGTTAACTGCAACTCCCCACGTGCAGTATAACACAAACCATCTGAATGCGCGTTACCGAAACTGCAGCAACGAGAATGGCGGAGCATTGGCATATCAGAAGTCAACTCAAACTGCGTCTTTGAGTAGCGTGGAAATAAGTTGTCAACATGGTAGTGCTAAAACCTAAAAGTAGCAGCTTCAATTCCTTGTGGTGTATCGTGTACTGTGTCATTGCCGTGGGAGTGCAGTGTTTTATTTCCTACAGGAACATTTCCGATTATCAGGAATCTCTCCGGAACCAGTGGAATCGTGACACTCCGTCAGGGGTCGGGGTAAAACTAGGACTAACTATTGTGTCTTTCATTATCCTTCCGTTTTTCATTTTATCCTCTGTGTTTAGGACGGGTAACTATGGAAATGACGGGTTTAAACTTGGCCGGGATCATGCCATCTGTCCGGCCTCTGTGGGTATATTGGAACACATAGGGTCTGATTTGGGGCGTCGTCTGTGGAAATACGCCCCACCCTTCTCTCCGACCCTACACGTGTTATCAGCATTTTGTCTTCTGTTTCCTGACGTTTTGATAACAGCAAAGGAAATCCAACTCTATATTCAATCAACAGGTATGTACTCTCTCTCTCTCTTTCCGACAGTTTCTGTATAACCTGTCTAAAGCAATCAACTACCTAGAAGCGATATCAGATAATTTGATAATAACATAATCAAATTTTGGTCATAAACTAGATCGTGTAATCCTGTTGTGAATTTATCTTTTAAATATACATTGATGCTGTATCAAAGATCTTGATAACAATTCAAAAATCACGAATGATAATGATGTATTTTCTGTTCGTGATCAAATGTTTTATGCCATGTATCCCTTAGTTCGGATCACCGTGAATTGGGAATTACGATCTCCTGAATAGTACAGAAACTTTATACATCTGAAGCACAGGTATAAAAAAAATTGTGTGTGTTTTTTTCACTGGGTACCTAGTTTCGCTAATAAAATATTTTTTATTCGAATAAAATTTATTTCATAAACTATGTTAATGTCAAAGCTCATTCCGAAATTCCATATATTTCTTGAGATATTCTGAAATCAATTTCAAAAATGACCTACTTTCTTTTACTCGACAATTTGGCCATTCACATGTAAACAGACGGTGTTTGAAGTGCGGCGAAGAAAGTATTTGCAAAATCTTTCAACAATTTAAAGTTGATTTCTTACTACAGATTGTAACGTTAAGTCCGTAATAATATTCCATTCACGAAAAATTAATTTGAAAACGTCTACATCAACAACTACCGCCATGTTGATTACGAATGTAAATGAAGCCATGGTAGAACGAATTTTTCCCGGAATGCATTATATACCTTTCGATTTTCAAAACAATTAGACCACTAAAATGTTGTTTATGACTTAGTCACACTATATGTTCAAATTAAAGAAAAACCTTGTAAAGCTTGAATGCAAATGAGCAAATATTCATTGAGTTTAGATAAATTGGGGTCAGCTTTACAATTAGTGAAGGCCCAAGCTGATGTCGAGTAAAAAAATTATTGTCAATTTGGGAATTGATTTCAGAATATCTCGAGAAGTATAAGGAATTACGGAATGGACTTTGGTAGTAATGAAGATTGTTTAGTTTTGAATAGATATGGATAGAAAGTAAAATTGTAAAGCATTTGATTTAAAAGAATTTTATTGGCGAAAGGCTCCCATGAAAAGAGTTCCATACCTTTATTTTTTTTTTTCAACACCTCAACAGAAAATCTAAAGTATAATTTTATCACCCGACGTGCAGATCAGTTTTATTTCACTATGTCAAGGCATTCAATGTACATGTATAATGAACAGGTTTTGAATGATTTTAAATAAATTAGTTGCATAATTTAATAAAGAGAGGGTTTATGCATATTTTCACCAAGAGATTTGTTTGCTATTCAAATTACTTTTACAATATTTGGTATGTGCTTATATTCAATGTGTTGCAAATAATCAAAATTTTGTAAATTCCTTTGGTGGAGCATTTTTATTTGATAACATCTTCAAAATGCTACCATGATTAAAGATATCGGATCATTCATTTATTAGATACAAAATATGGTTGTTATACATTGAATACCTTAATGTAAATACAAGTATCACGCCTGTTCAAATGCTGGTATACAATCTCCATAGAGATAAAAAGTTTTTTTTAAATTTTTTTTTCATCAGCCGCGACCAAGGATCAATACCCTATGATATCTACCAAGCTTGTCTTACAAATCTATACATCTCGGGCGTACTTAATCAGATTTGGGGTCAGGATTTCTCGCACCTGCTTGTCTTCAGTCAGTGACCAGTGGTCAGACTGACCAGACACAGAAAATAAACAAGTGGTTCTCCTTGATGGCAATCTCCTGGAAGTCGTACATTTCAAACAATGTGGGATATGATATTTTGTGTTTGCATCTTTGCATTATATTCTTTGTTGCAAATATTCTTTTTTCCCCCTATTTTGAGAGGAAATAATAATTTTATAAAATCATTTTTATTCGATTTTTTATTCCATTAGATTATAAAGAATGTATCACTGTCACCCAGTTTTAGCGCCCCTATATGCTTTTGTAGATTTAACATCATAATCCCATTTTGCAAGTTTTATAATGTTTTTCGCCAATTGCAATGTATGACAAGAGAGCACAATATGAAATCTAAGACCATCTTTCAAATTATACATTGTATCATATGACGAAGGACTCTTGGTCTCTCACAAGTTACAAATTAAGAAGATTTCATTCGATAAAATAATTAAAGAAAAGTCTTCAGAAGATTTTCAACATTTTAAAGGTGTTTTGAAGTTAACGACAAAAACTTTTTATCAGGAGCTATTAGAAGCAATTAAGCAATATTTCCTTTATCTAAATCATCAGTAAAATATTTAAATATGTGACATTTTTTGTTACGGGGTTAACTTTTAAATTAAAGGTATGCCATGTGTGCGTCATTTACTTGTTAAACCTGTCTGAAATTTGATTTTAAAAACCCACACTTTTTATTTTGAAATCTAAATGTGAGGTGTTTTTTTATATAAATAATTTTCTTTCTTCATTTCTTTCTTATTACTAGAATGTACATACTACATGCACTGGGGTATCTAAATTGGAGGTGTTTCTTATTTGTTGAACAAAATAAATACATGGGACGGAACATCTAAGTTTTATCAATTGATGTCCCAATTCAGATCAAACCCAAAACACACAGAAAAAATTACACCTTTGATTCATTTGTGTTAGGTTTTCTTAGTCTTGTTCCTCTTTCTTTAAGGATTCGGTTGCGGAGAATTAATCAATAATCAAAATACGCCTTTAATATTTACCTGTCCCCTAACCTTTTTTCCCTCTGCGTTTATTTTTTAATTAGCGAGTACACCTTATTCACAGTGTTTTCTATTCTGAATGAAAAGAGATTATTGTTCCATGTTTGCTTTTTGAAATGCACATGATAAGGTAAAGGCTGGTTGAAACACAGCCATTACAGAGTAAATATAATATTTCTTCATGAATATATTCCTGTCAGCAAATATTTCTGCCTCATAAATAAAACTCAGATAACGAAAATAGTTTTGAATAGAAGCAGTTGTAATCAGCATTGAGAACATGTGATCTTTCTCAGTTTTTTTGCCGATGTTAGCTCCAAGAATTCCAGAGCGTCGGATTGTTCTCTTATTTCTGTAATCACAAAAGATATAGATATGTATACAATAGAACAAGGTGTATTTTCGCAGCCCATCACCTGCCTTGGTGAGAAAACACAAACTGCTTCTTCTTCTGAAAGCAAACCCTGGGGTAATATAAACGTTTATGGGAGCCTGACCCTAAAGATCGCGAACATGTTTGTAAGACTTGGCACGGTAGAACACAAGCCAAGGTCTATACGGATTTGGAATTTTATCATTTTCTGTATCTTTAATGATTACATGACACATGTTTTTTACCCTTCCCATGCTGCTAATTTTACAATTTCTGATTTGCATCAACAGCTTTTAATTTCGTGAAGTTATTAAAAGGTAACAGACCCTTACAAGATTTTGGGTTTTATGGGTTCATTCATCTCTTTGTAGTTTTATTTTCGTTTTAATCTTAGAAAATCTTATTACTTCAAGAAATCAGGAATAAGCCTCTGAAATTGGTGTTTATACATATGTATATAATTGGAAAAGAATGATTTTTCCGACTGTAAATAAATTCTGTTCTGGTATAGAAAATGATTTACTAAAATACAATGCCGGGCACTGTAACTTCTTTCTTGGCTTAAAATTGACTTTTTGAATTTATCAGCATGCCCTTTTGTCTCGTTTATTTCTCTAGAACCTCCATTTCCAGATAATTTGACTGATCTATGGCCTTTTCTTGATACACTTCGTTGACCTTAAACTGTTCTGGCAGCTATTTTGTTGCGATAAATAACTCTATCACTGATATGTAACGTCCTGGAACTTGAAGCTGGAAAACGGAACAGAAAAAAATATTACTGTACAATTTTATTAGTGTTCATGCAAAATGTTCTAAAACTGATTAAGTATAATATACAGCGATTTTTATCCTTAGCTGACTCCGCTTGCATATGATAATGTTTAATTTTGATGTTTCTCTTGTATTACGGTCTTGTTATAGAGAAAAATATTCCGTAAATAAAAGCAAAAACAAACAAACAAAAAATGCTTCTCATGTATCATTTGTAAAATTTTAGATTCATTGGTAAAATTTAAATTCACTTCGTGAAAAAGACATTTGTCAATTTCATATTTATACTTTGTTCAATAACGTGAAAATTCAAAGTTCACAACATGATCGGTTCATTTTTAGGTGAAATTGCCTGGAATCATTGAAAAACAGTAAAAAAAAAACTTTACTGCACTATAAAACAGAAACTGGCGTTACGTAAGGTGTTTATTTATCCGCTAAAATCTCGTGAAATGGGAGATAGGTTATGTATATCTTGAAGAAAATAGATAACATGCTTCATCCATGCCATTCAAGAGAAGAGCGATCTACTGTGTGTTAATCAGCCAAAGATTCCTACACGTGGCCTGATGAACCGCTAAGACATATTAATTGTTTAGTCACAAATTTTGCGTTCTTGCAGGTATTTATAGATAAATAAAACAGATCATAGAAAGTATTTTTGACATATCTTCACAAACCAGTCTAAACTAAAGTTTTAAAAGTGCCTCGCCAGGGTTGTAATGTTAGTTAAATGTTGGCTCCTCGGAAAATTTTAAGAATATGCTTTTTCTTCAATGAGATACTCAGACTGACACATCGATGGGTCTCGCCAGATCACATTAAATAGGCATGATAAGAATGTTAAAACAAGGAAAAATCACTAATGTATGAAGTATAAAGAAACGCAATCTTGCATCTTGTGGTTAACAAGAGGGAACCGATTGGCAGGTATCCATTTCTTTACGAGGATTCTTGTAGCAAATATAACTTTCTTCGGAAATATAAGTAGTGTGAGGAGGATATACATATACATGTATCTGAAATTTAACGAAAATACTTTTATGGTCATTTATTCCTCGAATGGAAGTCTTAGTTATAGTATATATAGAAATAACTTTTGCGATATATT